CGGCGGCCTGTGGCGCGCGCGCGCGCGGGGGGGTCGCCGTAGCCGCTGCTACTTGTTCCACCTCGCCGTGCAAGCCCCCCCAACGTCCTTGTCGATTAGGGGTTAAATCACCACGTTGTGGTAATCTCAAACCGTGGAGCCGGAGGTTCGATTCCTCCCTGGGACATTTGGCGCGGTCGCTGGGAGGGAGTCGTGAGCGAGCGTTTTTTTTTTTTGGTTTTGTTTTTTTTTTGGTTTTGTTTTATTTGGCTTGGAGGTCGCGCCGCGGCTTTCAAGCTTGGTCTGTGCGCCCCGTGCTTTTCGGTTCGAGTTTGAGGTGTCTGAGTATGTGGCGCATGTGGTGTGGCTGGTACTGGAGTGCGGAAATGGGCGGAGGGAGTGGGAGGGAGTGGACCGCGCACGGGAGAGTGGCGAGTGCGCGCGCGCGCGCCACTCTCTGAGGGCTGGGTGGTGTTGTTGGGGTGGGCGGCGTCGCGAGAGGAGGTGTGCTTTGCAAGAGCGACGAGCGCACAGTGCGCTGGTCTGCAGCCAGATTCGATACGCCGCGGTATTGTGTATTAATTGAACGGCAGTTCGACGACGACGCAGCGCGACTTCTTGCGCGGGGTTGGACGACGGGGAGCGGGCGCCGTGGCTTCAGGGGCCAAACCAGCAAGCAACGAAAGACGTCCGGAGACGTGCCCGTCAATGCACTTGGCCACCTGCGGTGCAAGCAGAGCCGAGCGCGGGCGATGCGCACGGCGTGCATAGTTTTGTGGTGGGACGCGCGGCCGGTGCCTCTCCGTGTGTTTCCCGCGCGTGCAGTCGTGCAGTGAAAGCACGCGCTGCTGTGGACAGTGGGCGCAGTCGAGCTGCGGTGAAGAAACGCACGGCGAACGCAGCAGCAGAGCACACGCCGTGCGAGCCGACTTTGGGCACGAGTCGATTCATGGGCTTGCGGACATTGCTGGACGCGCACCGGTGCAAGAGACGGGGCTGTAGAGCAGGACCCGGCTAGTGCAAGTCGGCTCCGTTTTCAGGCAGATTTACCCCATGAGCGGATGATCCTATCGCAAGGACCGTTCGTCTGTCCAGTGAGTGCGGCTGATCCGAATCCCGACGGGGAGGGCGCGCCGATTGGCGATGACGCATATAGCACTCGCCGCCCGCGCGCTGACGGCGGGGCCCTCCCACATTCGGCATCTTCGTTCGTCTGCGGCGAAGTGCTACTTACTTCGAGCAACGGACGTTCGCAAGGAAAATATAAAGCCGCGACTGACCTCGGCCTGTCGGAGTCGTCCCTTTTCCCTGACCACAATTGTGCCCGCATGTCCTGCAATCGCCGTCTCTGGGTGCAATCCCTGACTCTGTCTAGACCTGTGCTCCAGTCTCATACTTGGATGAGAGTATTGCGGCGCATACCCCACTCTGACTACTAGAGACAAGAGTGCGAGCGCTTATTCGCCAACGGAAACAGATGGCCACCCTGTGGCGTGTGTTGCCACAGCTACTACTCCACCTCATCATTAAAGCTCCCGACCGTCCTTGTCGATTAGGGGTTAAATCACCACGTTGTGGTAATCTCAACCCGTGGAGCCGGAAGTTCGAATCCTCCCTGGGACATAATGTCGCTACCAATTCTGCCTACCGGACTGTGTAGTGTTTTTCTTCCTATTTTTGCATTCCTCTTGTCCGCGTGTCGTGCGGGAACTTCAAAATTTGTCTGATGCTTATTTCTCGCCTGCGCGGAGATTTTTATGGAAGTGGAGATAGAGATGACAGATCTGCGCATGTTGGTATGTCGCGCAGAGTGGTAGGGTGGAGCGAGGGTCATTTGAAACGAGGGTTAATTATCAATTGTAAGGGGAATTGTAATAGTGTAAATTAGTTTTTGCTCTGGCTTCGGAGTATCGCGGCTTGAGGACGTGTACAAGTGGCTTATGGTCAAGTTCCGCCGCGATTTTATGATAGTAGCTGCACTCATCTCGGGCCTGCCACCTACGCATCGGTTCTGCACCCTCTAATGCCCTGATCATGTGATGATATTCTCTTGACCTCCGGGTGGCCTTTGGCACACAGCTGCAGGGTCGGAAGAATGGCCCGCTGACGTGTCCTCGGCCGCTATGGACATCTGCCCACTGCCTGCGGACTGCGCAGTCACCAGTGCATGCGAGAAGAGAAGTTCGTACCTCGGGCGTTGTTTTCTGCGCCTTCTCGCAGTCTATCAGTCTGTCAGGGTGCACCCCCACTACAAATTCGGATCTTGGGCATGTCCTCGTGCGATGTGCGTGCCGACCGTGTCCGCCGTCTCTTCGTCTCGATGTTCCCACCCCCTTGCGAGTCATTCCGAGTGAGGGCCAATGGTCGTCGGATTGAGTGCCACATTGCACGCCGACG